TAGGTATACTTATAAGTATTGTGTTTTAAGTTTTACTTATGATTTATATTAGAAAGTATATTTAAGGGATTAAATATTATTACTTTGGTTATATATGTTATTAATTATTGACATAACCGAATAACCAAATCGAAAAAAACCGAACCGAATAGAGGAAGACCAAGCCAAACCAAATTTATTTTGGATCAGATTGGGTTACACTTTTACAAAACCAAAAATCGAAAATCCAAACCGAATAGTGTAAAACCAAACCGAAAAACCGAATGCACACCCCTACTTTTAACGGATGGCATAAATAAGCCTTTTCTAAAAGTTCGATGGCATATTTGAGCCTTTTCCCTTAATATAATATTTAGAAATTTTTCATAATTTGAATTGGTTATGGACTCTAGCAACTAATCATTCGTTGAAAATGATTAGGATTCTTGTATTATTATTTAATCTTCTCATTGTCTCATAATAATATTAGTTTCAATGTCACCAAAATTTCAAACAGTCTAATATTTTCCTCTCTTTTCCTAGTGTTTTTCATAATCAAATTTCTTTAGTGGATTGTGTTTGTTCATGTATCTAATTGATAACTCAATTCTTATTTATTGTGATACATTTATAGATACACTCTATTTCAGCTTACATACATCCTTCTTTCACAACCTTATTGTATCAGATACATTATTATCAACTACAAAATGATACATTATGTAAGTTATACATATCTTTCAAGGCAAATAAAACAATACTTATCAATTTAAACGAGATACATAAATAGTAATGTATCATGCACTAAACAAAATAAGATACATAAATAATAATGTATCATGCACTAATTTTCTAGGCATGATATGTAAATTCGAATTCATACTAAATGTATCTGATACATAACAATTACCAAACAATAATGTATCGATCTCAAACCTAAAATCTTATGGCAAAATTTTCTTATTTAATGTATCTAGTAGAAATACAACACTTATCATTTAAATCGAAAGGATCTTCATGATGTATCTTCTATAAATTTTCGATAATTTTGAATCAAAATTAAAAGAATCTTCAATGAACTAGGAGAATAATTTTGAAACTCAAAATTTTCAACAATTTTGAATCAAAATTGAAATGATCTTCAATGAACTAGGAAAAAAATTGAATCTCAAAATTTTCGACAACCGTGAATCAAAATTGAAAGGATCTTTGATGAACTTGAAGATTCACAAAAGAAATCGTTTGTCCAACAA